GTCATCAATTAACGTTGCTGGCGCTAAGATATTATCAATGATTGTGGGCAGTGGCACCGCCCGGGCGGAACTTAAAATATCCGGAACTCCAGATTTGACCCGATACCCATCAGATGGTCGGTGGGACCATCTCTTGTCTTGTCTTTTCGCACTCACTCAGGGGCGGATCCAGCAAAACTCCAAGGGGAGGGTCATGATTCGAAGTGGATTCATCATTCAGCTCAACGGATTTCGGCCACTTAACCCTATATATTAGTGGCAGACTCCTGGCTACCCCTATTAGTGGCGGGGGGGGGGGCTGTTTACGACCCCCCCTTGATATCTCGAGATCTAACGGGCCGATTTTCAAAATTCAAACGGCATTCGATTTCGCTCAACGTGATCTACATTTCTAAAAAATAAAAATTCAAAAAAGGTCAATAGGGGGGTAGAGGGGGGTAAAAACGGGCAAATTGCAGATATATTTTAGACTGTTTATCACGGCCAGGTTTCTGAGCCAATCGTAACGCAACTTTTGCCGATCGATAGAGAATGAACCAGGAATTTACATGGATCCTAAAAATATGCATTTTCAAAAATCATAGGCGGATACAGATCATTGAGATTGGGGGTACACAAAAAGTATAGTAAATAAGGTTTTTGTTGGTACTGTTTCTAAAAAGGGTGGCAATGGTCTTGTTATGTTACAATTTTCTTATGAGAGAACGACTAAAATTGTATTGGTCATGCATAGGCGGTGTCAGGGCACCTATGTTGGGAGGTAAAACATTACCCCCCTTTTTGGACGCCTGGATCCGCCTATTACAGCAAAAACGTGTCAAAAGATGATGCACAATAACTTTGTATATGTTATCACATGATACCTTGCATTCACTGTTCGTAAAACTGGTGTATACAGTTATAATACATCAGCATCGTGATCTTCGCCGAAATGACTCGCTTCACGAATAGGACCCCCCAATTCCCAGTGCTCTGGAGCCGCCCCTGGTAAAGGTATGAGCTTGAAATTTTCAGGGAATGTGCCCAATTTAGTTTTTGGAAAAGTCAGAAAATTTCAGCATCGTAGCTTCAGCGGTTTCGGAGATATTCCCGAAAAACCTGAGGGGTGGATGAAAACAACCCCCCCCCCCTGCCACTAATAGGGTTAATTTTGGTGGTGCCCTAATTTCATTTTTTACCTGAGGTTCCACTGCTAGGCCGCAGGTGCCCCTGGCAGGTTCGTGGTGCCGCTGGAAGAAACATGGTGCCCCTGACAAGCCTGAAGTGTCCCTGACAGGCCCGTGGTGCCCCTGACAGGCCCAATGTGCCCATGCGAGGCCGGTAGTGGCCCTGCGAGGCAGGTGGTGCCCCTGGCAGGTCTGTGATGCCCCTGGCATGCCTGTGGGGCTCTTGCGAGGCCGATGGTGTTCCTGACAGGACTGTGGTGCCCCTGACAAGCCTGCAATACCCCCGACAGAACCGTGGTTCCCCTGACAGGCCCAAAGTACACCTGCGAGGCCGGTAGTGCCCTTGGCAGGCCTCTGGTACCCCTGGCAGGTCTGTGGTGCCCCTGGAAGACCTGTGGTGCTCTTGCTAGGCCGATGGTGTTCCTGACAGGGCTGTGGTGCCCCTGCCTGACAAGCCTGTGGGCCCCTGACAGGCCCGGGTGCCCCTGCTAGGCCTGTAGTGCCCCTGGCGGGCCTGTGGTGCCGCTGCTAGGCCGCTGGTGCCCCTGGGCCCAGACAGGCCTTTGGTGCCCCCGGACCCTGAGGGGGGGGGGGGGTCATGACCCATTTGACCCCCTCCCCTCCTGGATCCGCCACTGCACTCACTGGCATATCGGCACAGGCGTCGGCGTAGAAACCGGCGGTGGACGGGGGTCATGACCTCCCCGAACTTAATTCCCCCTCTCGACTTTTCCTGTAAAAGTAACCCTGCATATATCACTAACGTACGCACAAGTAAAGTCATTATGCATCGTGAAAAATAATAGGGCAGAATTAGTGCAAAGTTCAAATAAATAATTTGATCATAACAATGTCATTGATATCTGGCAAAAGGAAGGATTGTATGTACGGCTACCACTTTTTATTGTGCACCTAAATAGCAGTTGCAAAACATTTTAAGCATTGCTATGAGAAATGATGACGAGCGGAAGTCGAGCAAATGAATACCTAATGGACAATGGACATGGCATATCGTTGTATTCTTCTTAAGTCAGACTTTTTGACGCAATAAAACGAGATAATGGAAATAAAGAACATTTCGAGGAGTTTTGTCGTTTGGCAGTTGTGTGTGTCTGGCCTCTCAGCCTTGCACCACGCCTAAAGGCCGCCCCACACTGGACCTCGCATGCGGGTTGCGAGTTTTTGGGTTTTCGGGTTTCTTCAAGATCAAATAATATAATCTAAGCCGAATGACCCACACCACCATCTAACAAGCGAGTCTGCATATTTCTAGCTTGCGAGCGACCTTGCATCGCATTCCAAAAGTTTATTTTGAGTCAACTTTCGATTTTCCTCGCTGCGAGGTCTGCGGGTTCTGCGAGGTTTGCGGGTTTTTCGTTGGAGTCGAATTTTGGTTCGTTGCGCTGGTATTGCGACTATTTTTAAGTTTCTGAAGGTGAACCGGCTTCACTGCATTCATGAAGTTACCATAAGTGAACGGTCTAATCACTCAATGAATTAGTATTATGCCCGCAAACCCAAACCCCGCAAACTCGCAACCCGCAAGCGAGTTCCAGTGTGGGGCGGCCTTTAGTAGCGACTAGCGAGGGTAACATCCCTGGCCCAACGTCCCACTTTGTTACAGCGATATCGCTTTTGTTTCGAAGACTTTCGCGGAAACTTTCTAAAGTAAACAATGCAAACTTCTAGAACAAATATCGAGAGCCTGAATGTATCCCTGAGGAAAGCCTTCTTTCACAAAAAGGACCAAACTCGGCTAAGCTAAATGAATTAAATACGGGAGGATAAAAACACATTCAGCTGGATAAGAAACATTTCTTTACTGCAAGGTCATGAGGACAAGGAGGAGGAACTTATCCAACATACTCATTGCCTTTCAGCCAGCGTCTTGGTGCATTTACAATTTAGCATGGTGTAAGGACCAAACGCAGCATACATACTGGATCAGACACACCGTCAGACTGAACATATTGCCCGTTTTCCAGCACAATGGTCGGCTACACCAGCCAGTGCATACATTTCCATTGTGAACAATGGCATCAAAATGACTTTCAGTGAAGTTTAAGGTAGTTTTATATGGTACAACGTTTCTTTGAGCATGATTGTAATCAATAAAAATGGTAAAATTGACCTTATTCTCATAATATCAGATAAATTAATTGAAAAAAGGTCCAGAATATATTTTCGAACTTGGTTCTTCTTCGGTGGAATCAAAAAAAAAAAATAAAAAATAAAAATTTAAGGTAAAATAAAAGTTTAAGGTAGGGCAGGTCTCGGGTGACAAACGAAATGCGCCACGAACACGGATACGATTCTTAAACAAATCAGCACCAGAAAAAGCTACATACATTACGAATAGATGTAAAGTATCAGGGTTCACACTGCGGCGTTCTTCCTGTCACTAGGCTGGTGTCTCCACGTCTTGGGCAATTACATATAATATCTGCTAGCAAACAGATGAAGCGATAAGCTGCGATGAGGCCTGCAAACTAATTCGTTTTATTTATTCTTAAATTACCAATGAGTGTAACCACTGTAACCCAGATGGCAGGCCATATCAGTAATAAACAATGCAATTAATAGTTGTGGCTCAGTTACGAGGTGGAATCCTAAAACATTCATCCCTGCAAGGTCCCACTCCAACCTAACAGTATTCTGAGTCCAGGGGCGGATGGCGCCCGTTGACCCGACAAAACCCACTGGGTTCCTCGGCCTGTCAACGTTTTAGAAACGGGACACGTGCGCCCCAAAAAGGCCAATTAAACAGATGGGAGACCAATCGACACAAACACATCCACTCAACGTCCAACCCAGCGCAGCGTTCCGCTCTGGGGCCATAAAACGGATCAGAAATCGACTCATCGCGAGTGGGCCGTTCGCCGGGCCGGCTGGGACTGTGGTCGGGTCGGGACCGGATGCCGGTCCCTTACGACACGCTCCGCCGCTTCAGGAGCATACCATGACTGTCACGGACCAGGGACCAGCGCGGGTGAACGGGGTCCCCCTCGGACCATGGATCGCCGCTGTTCAGTCCAGAAGAACGCGGACACCTGTTCATTGTGTACAGCAGAATCAGGGCATTGCCCTGGCAATAAAATCGATCGTTCATAGCTGTCTGATTTGGTGGCGTTTCGGGTCGGCGTAAAGAGAGACCATGCCTGGCAATGGGGTTGGCCGGTCAGCGGTGAAGATTGAGGTGTCACGTGCAAACTACACCTAGTGCAAGTGAGAGCACCATCGCATACCCTTCCATATGTCTGGGGATATGCATCATACAGAGACATTGCACACCAGTTTGCACAACTAACGCTGTTACATTGCACACGAATTGCAGAAATGTATGACAATGATGTAAGGCAATGTTTTTCCCAAAACCGGCCGGTGGTCACAGGCCATAGTCAGGAAGGTCAGTTCAACAATCAGGACGGAGCGACACACCAGACACATCCAGAAAATAATTAATTATCCAAGCCGTAAAGCACAAACCACGTTCCCCACCCGCGTTCCATGGTAGGCCGTGGCACACACGTGAAACTCACCTGACAAACGTATCCCAGCCGCAGCGCAGGCCGAGGCCACTCGTGGGACAACAGTCCTCCACTAATCCACAATCCACCGACCCGTCCACAGTCCACCAGCGTCCACAATCGTCCCTCGGGATAGGCCTTGCGTCCACACGCGGCCGCGCAACCCCACACCTCCTCGCACCACAAGACGACTGCCGCGGCGTCCGTCTTAGACCGCGCTCCGCACGAGACAGTCGGCGGCCGGCGTCTCCACCAATCAGAGGCCGCGAAACGGCCCGGCCGGGCGACCGACCGGCAGGGAGCCGGACCCCCAGACAGGGAGGGGAGGGGAGGCGCAAACATGTAGTGACTGGAAGCGCGGCATGAGGTGACAGGTGTCACGGTGGTCTTGTGTTGATGTGGATATTGTTTTGTGTCAGGGGTGGGCGGAAATGATCGACTTTGAAGAGAATGCTGCAAGATATGGATGCTTTTTACGGTAAGGTTTGCTTTCTTGAAACTGGATTGTTCTAGAAAACATGGCGAGAGCGTATTTGACTGTGGTCGCATGCTTCTGACGTGTCATGGTGTTGGTCTGCGCTGTTGTGGAGTGATAATTGTCATGATGTGCATGAATCATGATGATTGGGTATTGAATGAACTGCCGGTTATTGGAATGAGGACAGTGGGCAAGTTGAAATCGTGATTTGGTTCTTGAGTTTTGATGGGGGGGGGGGGGGGGGGCAGGTGTCACCTCTTTTTGACAGGTGTCATCTCGACGGGGACCTAGACAGTAGACATAGTCGCTTTTGGAAGAAAAATATTGAGACTCGTCCACAACAAGCTGCTTGGCTACCTACATAAAAACCTGGTTATCTGAAATTTGGTATCCTTACAATGCTTCCTTTTTCGGTTGCCTCCCCGATCTATCTGCCCTTCGTCGTCGTATAATTTCGTGGGCGCTCTGGTAATTAATGTCATATCGATGTCCCACGGATGGCCAGATCTGTCGATGTCGTGCCACCGGGACAATTTATGGCCGCCCAGACAAATCGTCGCTACCATCCCAGCTATGTCGCCGCTAGTTAACACTTTCTCCATGACAATCCAGCGACTTTTTATAGCCGACCCTTGTCTGAACGAATCAACCCCGAACCGTCCGAAAACCGGTCTGAAATCGTGCGTCTCTCGTCGAACTATTTTGGCTGTGAATGCATTCATGAGAATCCACCGAATCAGACGTCTTCAGCATCCACCTTCACAGTACCCGAGAGCTTCAATGTCGGTCTTCCTTGTCCTGTCAGCTGATTAGAAACGCCCCGACCGCTGGCGACACGACATCACGACTTCACGACTTCATTACCGCGGCGGTGCAGCTCTGTTCGTGGGTGGTAATTGGCTCACCCCCTCGGCCCCACGGCGGCCCGGAGCTAGCGCGAGCTTTAGTCCTATCACGAGTCGGAGCTCAGCTGAAGTCAGAGCCCATCAGGAATACGAGCCTGGCCGATTGGTTGACCCGCACGGCCTCATGGCGGTCCGGGCCCAGCCAGACCAGGCTTGGATTACTGATCGGGCTCTGACTTCAAAAGAGCTCCTTATTTGACTTGAGCTCGGGCTGGGGCTCATTCATTTCGGACTCGGAGCTATCAGTCAACGTGGGCTGAGCTCGGACTCCTGATCGGGCTTGGACTCGGGCTCGGATCCCTGATCGAACTCGGGTTTTTGGTCGGGCATTTGCGGGTTTGGCTGGGGCTTTAGGGCCCTGCTCCAGTCGGCAGTCAACAAGGCGGAGAGGACGCCGGAGCTTCCAGGGAGCTCGGCGTGGTTCGGTTCAAGCAGTAAGAAGCTGTTGACGTGTACCTGCCCTTCAAGCCAGTTGTCGGGCATAATTGATTCTTGAGGAGTTTCATTCCAACCTATTAAGCTATAATCAAGGTGAATTTTATTTCTGTGGCTAGTGAGGGTGACAATTATGACTGAAGAGACCGTTTGATCGCGGCCACCGTTTTGTTAGCACCTGCAGGTGAGTGGAAAGGAATTAGCAATATTCGGCCGGTATTTCAAAACACGATGTCCTTACGACAATGCCACTCAGGTGCTCAATTGGCGCATTTACAGCCTGCCTGATTACTCGGAACGTGAGAATTGGCTAGGTTAGAACCCGCGCACGCCATTCTGCAAGGTTACACCGATTGCAGGCCTCGAAACGGGAAATTCCTGGTAGCTGCAAACCCTAGACACGAAGTTTGACATGACCGCCTAGCCGGTGCCGCCCATTGATTTCACTGGTTCTACGATTAAACATATAGGTGGGTGCACAGCAACGTGATTACTTTGTTGTTTCGAATAATATTTTTCCCTCAAGTGCTTGAGGAGCCCATTGCCAGTTTCAGTAACACTACCAAGTTTCGGCATTCGTGCCCGGTGTCACTCTTGTTATATTGCCCATAGGATTGCAAGATGCTGACCACACTCAGCGGCATCCTTACGACGGTCACTGTTCCTTGCCGTGTCCCTGCGTTCCGTACTTATTCAGTCCCGTGTCGTCCTCCCTTGCAATGCTGTCCCATCCGCTCTACCCCCATGGCTCGCCAGGCTGTGGCCTGTGCGCTGTTCCTCGCCGTTCTATACACCCCGTCCCTATGCTTTACTATCTTGCTCTGTTCCCTATCATCCTCCTGCCGTGCTGTGAACCCACCGCGTCGCTGGCGGTGACGGCCACGGGTCCACCGGGCGACACTGGGGCCATTTGGGCCGGTCACGAGCGCCGATAACGTGCCCACGAGCCGCCGACCGCCGCCTCTTACACGCGGTGACGCGGCGTGTCTGGTCTGGCGGTCCGGTCCGACGGTCCGGTCTGGTCCGGTCCCCAGTGGTCCCGGATGGTCTCCGAGCTAGGTTCACTGCCCCCGCCTGCACCGGCGCTGTCCCTTTGTCCCATAGACAGTGGGCAGTGTCCCGGGCACCAATGTTCAGCGAAGTTAATGCCTTAGCTGTTAGTTCCATGTTGACCATGTTGTTAGTTCAGTGTCCCCGGATGCTGCTGTTGATTGGTCTCACAGACACCTCTGATCTGGAATTTGTCACAATAGCATGATGGCAATGATTTATTTCTTTGTGGAAACTATATTCATTTTGATATTGACAAGCCAAAGCATTTTGACATAAACGTACCCCAGCCTGGAGGAACGACCATGAAAGTGACAATAGGTTATGAACGGCGAGTGCCGTATGTAAGCTGGCAACAGCTGGATAAACATAAATATGTAAAGGGAGAGACGATGAAATATGTAGGCAAGTGATGGTGTCTGCACACTGTCTTACCTACCCCACTATTCTCCCATGAACGCACGATTGCCCGGAATAGTTAGCTCGCCTTTTGACCAGTTTTCAGTAATTTAAGCTCCTTCATTGCAGGTCCGGCCAACAAAATAACGCAATCACAATAGAAAATTTGTTTCTACGTGGGTACCTACTGTTCTATATGGCAAGTACTGCTAAACTTGTAAAGGATTTCCCCCATGTTTGTTTTCTTACGAGCTCAGGTTTCGCTAAATGCCTACTGCCGCCACGTGACCCCGGACCACCACTCTTGCCGTGTTGACAGGAATCCTGCTGAGAGCTGATACGTGAAAGTTCTCCATTTCTGCAGCCTTTGGGGCCTGGGGGCCAGGGCCACGTCAATTGATCAAAGTCTAGCCTTAGTGCAGGTGCGAGTCCGATTCCCCCCGTCTATCGCTTCTCTCGCCGAGTGCAGCGCCACCTACATTGCTGCCAGTGCTGATATCTACCGCTAGATGGCAGTATATCACGCCAGAGCCGTTCTACTTTCGCGCTGCCACCAGCACTCAGCAGCATTGCACGCGTCAATAAAATTGCGTAACCTTACCCGGGGAACTTGATAACCGAGACTCGTGAGGGGGCGTTCGAACGCTCAGCACCAAACGAATGTCCTATATGTCCCGAAGTGTCTTGTCTTGCCTTGCACACCTTTCAGGTACCTACTAGATATTTACCTACACATAATATCAGTGCCACTTGTGAACGTGTCAAAGCTTAGGGCTTTATTTAATAATTTAAATAATTGTTTCTTGATTGGCGATTTACTTCATTGATGAATCTATTTCATGCCCAACTTTTGTTGTATATTCCTGTTCGTTCTCAATACGCAAGAAGATGATGGGGCTCGTATACCTTATTATTTGACGGAAACTACGGATCAAACCATGGTCCATAGATGTTTACCTATTTTCGTCTTATTTACTGTTATAGTTTTTGCAGTACATTCAGGTGTACTTTACTCGTTTCAGGTACGTCGAACTGGAATGTCATCAGGCCTGACACTCCAGTAGGCCTGACACGCGAATGATACCTTCCCTCCTTTCAAATGGACACGGAATATGCATGAAAGTAAGTACCCAGCTCAGAGCCAGTCTTGTGCCTGCGTGTTGTTATCTTGCATGCAATATCCGTTTATTTGTGGCATTATCAGATACCTGCTGTACCCATTTTCTAGTGCCCTCTGCCCCACCCTCTCCAGCTGGCGGGTATTGTAGTTAGGTCAGAAGTCAGAACTGACTGATTGGGCACAATGAGTGGCATTCTTGGTCACCGACAGTTTCCCATTATATCATCAGCCACGTCAGCTCAAACGCCGGACGCTATCGGTATGCTGATAACGAACAGGCGGTGCCGTCTTACACAACGCACGTGGTCGACTGACAACACGACGGCCGCAGCGAACCCATGTGTTGAAACGGCCGAAGCGTAGTGCCCCCCCCCCCCCCAGGTGGCCCCCTCGCCGGCCGAGGGGGGGGGGCGGGTGCCGCCCCCCCTAGGGTTTTTTTGCGATAGCTCCAAACACGCTGGCGATAGAGAGCTGAAACTGGGCGTACCTGACCTTTGATTCAAGCCGGATCTTTTGACACCAACTGCATTTTTGGGTCAGGTCAGGTCACTGACCTATGACGTCATAAGTGAACCTCTGCAGGTCTTCAGATGTCGCAACTTCGCAATGCCGTCACTGCCAGAGGAGATGTCACAGGGAAATGAAACTTGCAGGATCTAGTATCCATTATGAGTCTCACAACTTGTATATCTCGGATTTTTCCTAAAGGTCATATGAGGTCAGGTCATTTTCGTGACCTCACCATTATAAGTCAATGGGGAAAAATGAAAACTGCTATTCTGGCGCCGGGAACGATCTCCAACTATCTCAAGCACACAGAATCGTGATTTCATGCACTCCTTGCAAGGTTAGATGCGTCACTTTTGCAATGTTGACCTTGCGTGACTTCATTTATGACGTCATCATGGTCATATTAGTTTTTCGTCAATAACTCCTGATCAAATTGAGCTAGCGAGTTGGTAAGGCCACCATTGGACTCAGGAAAACCTGCCGAATCGAATGATATGCGACATGACCTCTTTCGACCAACTTCGTGACCTGGGGGTGCTGACCTGACCTTGACCTGAGGTCAACACCCTAAGTTAACCTGACCCGAACAAAAAGTATATCATTCGACGCGCCTGAGCGAGGCGAACACGATGCAGCCAAAATCGCGGCTCTGCGGTCGTTTTTTGCGAAGTTATTCACCAAAAACTGAACCGTACCTTGGGGCACTTGACCTGACCTCAGAGGTCACCGGTTGACCTAGGACCTTAAAATCGGGTACCAATCTCTGCGTCTCGTAACGGCGCACACGCTCGTTTTTTTTTTTTCCGCGACGCGCTAGCTCCACCAGGGGCGAAACGGCGAGGGGGGTCGTATCCGCCCCCCCCCCCCTCCCTCGGCCGGCGCGTATGTAGAAAACCAATAGGTCCGGCGAGGGTTAAAACGGTAGAAACGCAGCGTACATACTACATGCCTACCTACTTCTGCGTTGGAACGGTCGAAAGCAAGTACAAAACCCTGTTTTGAAATGTGGCGCGGTCAGAACTGCCGCTCTCTTCTATTCTTATTGGTGAGCCATTTTAAAATGTTTGCCAATTGTGGCATAAAAGTTTTTTTGATGTGATACCTACGTATTCGGATAGACAGATACGACCTCACCTCCACCGTTCCACCGATCCTCCTTATCCCTAGGTGACCGCTATCGACCATCGTGAGTCGTCATTGGTTTGGCCACTACAGAGGAAATTCCTTAGACGAGTGCGTACACGGAAGCGGCCCTATCAGCACCCGCTGAGTGAGTTCTCGGACTCCTGTCTGATACACGACAATACAGCTGCCACGCCTTAGTCTGATAATGCGACATTAATGTGAGTGCTTGTTCAACGAAAGGATGAAAGCGATAGGTTATGAAATCGGCGCTTTGATGATTGCAACAGAACCAATCTTGCAGCCGCCGATCATGAGGTCAAACAGAGCGATACGGCGCCGCTGCTTGCGATATCCTTGCGATACGGCGCCGCTGCTTTATGGGCAGCTTAACGCTCGCCATATAGATATGCTGTATGTAGATTTGAAATGGATGCTTACTTGATACTCCTTGCAACCTTGCACATTTGCTTCATTCTTGCCTGAATCATAACATGACTCAATATATATTGTATATACACCCGTATGAAACACTTTCTTCAACTGGTTCAAGACAGTGCGAACACAATATTGCAGTGCTAACGCAATATTGAGACATACACTTTCACGCGCGGGGAAATGTTATCTGACAGCAGACATAGGAGCAAATATTAACTTGTAACGAGTCCATATCGCTCCCAGTTAGTGAGAAGAGAATCCACGCTTATTCCTGGTACGCCAGATGACAAAACTCTCAGCACAGTGCAGCCCGCAGCTATTCCGTCACCGCACAAACACTATCTAAGTCAAACACAGCTCGTGTGCTCACCAAATGTGATAGCGGCGTCACTTGGAGCAAATCCGCTGCCCGCGTAACGAGCGCCGCGCCATGATGCCCGCAAACACATCAGTGAGCACTGGCTCACTCCGAAGGGGCTTGACTTCAGAGTTAACGTTCTTCCGGGCACTCCACTGCGGGATCAGTACGATGAGCCTAGCATCAAGTAGTTTTAGTCCGATTTGTTAAGCCTGTCTAATCGCTTTAAGCGCTTTAATAAAAAGCGCACGTGAAGCCTCAACCCAACACTGGTCAGCCGAAAATATCATCTTACTCTTGATTTTACTTACCTATTGACTTCCTTTCTATTCATTATTATCGCTCACCTCGTGCCGTATTTATTAGTTAGTGCACTTAGAACGATCAGACAGGTATAAAAATCCGGCTATAGTTCAAGCACACCGGTGGGCAGTGCTCGATGTTGTCGGACATCACAGTCAAAGAACAGTCACTACGCAACAATGTGACGGCCATCGGCGCTACCGGCCGCTGTCCCTCTGCGGCGGGCCGGCGCGGAACACTTTGAGGAATTCCTCAATATCGTCTGTGTCGCCCATGTGTTTGTACACCCACAGGCCCCAGCCGAGCTGGGAAGCCTCGTTCATCGCCTTCGACTTCAGACAGGAGTTGAAGCGCTTGCCGACCTCAGTCTTGTTGCACTGTTTCTTGTGGTAGACGTGCACCAAGTCCGGATCGGGCATGCGCACAATCTCCACACTGCTCTTGGTGAACTGTTGGTATAACCGGACATCCTCCAGGCCCCAGCCGGAGATGTTGAAGAAGTTGCCAGTCAGTCGGGTAAAGTCAGATCGGTACTGACAGCTCATGCCGAACCCAAAGTCAATCCAGTAGCCTTTCTCGCGATCGATGAGCATTTTCTTTTCGTAGCTTGTCAGAATCGGGACCATCTTCTTTTTGATGACGTCGAAGACGATATGCGGGTTGTATGTGTTGAAGACTATGGGGAAGTAGGCCTGGTGGCCTGGCTTGGTGTTTGTACGACACCTCTGCAGGAAACTCTCTCCGAACAGCATGTCCACATCGCAGAGGAATAGCAGCACGTCATCGGTGGTGTCCCACGCGCGCGCGCCCTCCATGAGCGCTGCGCCACGCGAGAAGACCCCAGACTTCTCGATCAGACGCACCCTGGGCACTGCACTGACGCTGGACAAGCGCATGTTGGTCTCGCTGACGAGCGCAGAGACGCCGTCGCGGTCTTTGCGCGCCTGGTCGGCACTCATGGGCGGAAAGCCGTCCGTGTACCGGACGATAGTCAACACCACCTGCTCCCGCTTCTCCACCAACTTGGCGAACCTGCCGAGGAACTGGCGGAGCGTGTCCAGCCGGTTGAAGTAGGGCAGGATGATGTTGACCACCTCGTGGCCCCCGCTGCCGCCGTACTGCACTCGCGGCAGCGCTAGGGGCCGGGTCACGCGCACTGTGTGGAAACCCGTCGGACCCGAGTCGCGCGTGCGAAAGTAGAGCTCATACTGCACTCCGGCGCCCGGCAGGAAGCGGTAGCGACCTCCGAGCGCGTCCGAGCGCGTGAAGCTCGTGTCGCCGGTGCGACGTCGCAGCTCGGCCAGCGAGGCGTTCACCACGCTCAGCAGCTCGAACGTCTCGGGCCCGTCGCGTGGTGCGCGCTGCACCTTGGTGGCGCCCGGCTCGATCACCTGACGTCGCCAGCGGGACAGCTCGAAAAAGTGCCACGGGTACGGCTCGATCCTGGGGGCAGAGAGGGAGAACAGTGCCACTTAGACAGGGCAATTGAATGAATTCCCGAGAGCAGGTAGAGGGATGGGGAAATAGAATAAGAGGACATTCGACTGCATGCCCGAAAGCAGTTATGCCCGGAGGGAGGTTTATCTTATCGAATGTTTTGTGGTGCAAAGAAAAGTACCAAGTAGGTATAAGTTGCATGGATTATTCCGTGAGGTAACGTACAATTCGATGGAAAACTTAACCTGTAACCGAAACGTCTTACACTGTTCGAGATCCGTCCCACTTAGACAATGACGCATTTAGGATCACACATGTGTTGCACATCAAATGGTTGTGGACTCTCGGCCCTTGAGCGATAGACGGTCACTTCTGGCACTTCTAGCGCCGGCCACGATGACCATTGTCCATATACGGTCCGTATTTTCTGTCCGTCTGACCGCTATCAGCGACTCATCCCGGCGGAAGTCGGTACTTACCCGGGCGGGATATCGAACCGCGAGCCATTCTCTTCCTGCGTCAGAGAGCCGACCGCCACGTACTCGGGACCTGCGGCACAGAGAGTGGATGTGAGGTCAAACACTGGGAGTGGCGGCTGCAACCTGGCACTGACACTCACAGACTTACAATGAGTGGTGCATGGAAGTGTGTGCGATGGATGTTGGCCACGCTCGACGTGAAAGCGGCGCTGAAATCTTATGTAGGACTTAGGAGACCAGGCGGTTTCAGCTTTCAATAATGCATTAGTGGAGTTGTCTCAGACGCTGATTTTGGGCTGCGACATGAACTAGTATGTGGAGTGGAATGCTATAGTATCAGCGTCATCTCTTAGTT